CTGAAGTTGAAATGCCAAGTCAGGATTGATTATATTAAAGACTCTTTTTTGAATTTTGTCAAGAATCTTGAAATATATATAGTAGGAGCACCAGACCAGATATGGCGGCAATATTTAATGCATGGACGAATGGTAGATTTATAAATGTGAAACATGGATTTTGACAAGAAAAATATTTCCTTGCAGTAGATCTAGCAATTGATTCAATAAAATCATCTCACTTCATGTCAGTGAAAAACTTCAGCCGAATCTCATGCAAAAATGGACAGCAACATATTTGTTCAATGTTAGAGGAATCTTAGAAGTGTCTGAACTTTTTATCACTTGTGTACTTTGTTCCTACTTATGAGGAAGATGGTAATACGCCAATTTTCCAAGTAAGGTAGGTGGTGCTATCTGAAACCCTGGCTTTTAATTGGGTTTAAACATCAGCATTAAGAAGAAATATAATGCTGATGCAAAAGTTTCAATCAAAATATTTTGTATAATATTAGGGAAAACTTAGAAATGTCTGAACTTTTTATTACTTGTGTAGTTTGTTACGGTTTATAAGGAAGTTACACTAATTTTTTAAGTAAGGATTGTGAGGCTATCTTAAAAATCAGTATCTGAATCCTTGAAGACTAAGCACAAACATTGCTGATGATATAAACATAAGTTATAAAAGCCAACTTTTAGTAACTTTTCATTATTCACTTGACAAAAATTTGAATTCATTTGTCAATTCAGTGAGATTTGGTGAATTTTTTTTTTTTTTCATTTTGTTAGACTACCCCCTCCCCACATTACAGTAAAACCTAAATTTAATGATGCTTGTTTTAAGGATGACCAGAATTAACTACTCAACAATCATATAACGTACTGACAATTTATTTTTTGCTGAAAAAAGTTAAATAAATGCTAGAACAAGCATTCAACATTAACTTACTAGGAAGATGTCAACCTTTTTAATTCTAATGTAAGCTGGAAATGAAAACATCTAGCGGAAAATAATTAATTTGATAACTTTGAGCCATCTACAATTTGTCAGATTGTATTTATCATTCACTGACCTATCGCAGATTTCATGGCTTCTTGGAAGGTCAAAAGGTGAATTGGATACATTTTGTTTCATAGTCTGTCTATATTTCTGAGATGAGGTATTATGTACAGTATTTACATTAGTCGGACTATTGTCCTCATCTTTGTTGCCATATTTGTCACAACGTTTCGGCCGTTGTACGCTCCGGCCTTCTTCAGGTGGTTGGAATTTCGAACTGAACTGTCCTCAAGGACACATGGCACAGTGGATAAAGGCGTTGGTTAGATCCAGTGACAGACCCAAAGAAGGTGAGTTCAATACCTGGTTAAGGCAGTGGAGAACTTTCAGAGGGAAAATTAGCAGGAGATAACTGATAACTGACATCCATCAAACATGGCACATGGAACTAGAACAGCCTACCCCAGTGATCGAAATAAAGGGTTCAGTTCAAAATTCCAACCACCTGAAGAAGGCCTGAGCGTACAAAGGCTGAAACGTTGTGATAAATATGGCGACAAAGATGAGGACAATAGTTCCGACTAATGTAAATACTGTATTTTGTTTCATGTTTGCTACAAAAATGTTAAGAAACTAGAATTTGAGAAATTGTAAGTTATATTGGATAGCCCGAATTTCATTAAATTTTGTGTGTAAAAGAAAAAGAAATAAATAAAAGCAAAAACCTAGACACACAGGGAAAAATTCAACTCAATTTTAAAATCTAGAGCTGACAAGCTGTTCAGTATAATACCCCTCAAAACTGATAAGATTTTTTACGTATGAAGTTTTTGAATTTTTTTTTTTTAAGCCTTGTTTATAAGTGCAAAGAAATATATCTACCTTGTTAACTTAAATGAAATCTGGAAATGATAAATCTAATTGAAAATACTTAACTTGACAACTCTGCACTGTCTACAATTTGTTGGATTGTATTTATCATTCACTGACACCCTTCATAGATTTAATGGTCTTTGGGAGATCAAAAGGTGAATTTGATACAGTTCATTTCATGTTTGCTGCTCTATTGATTTAAGAAATTAAGAACTGATAAACTGTAAAGTATATTGGATAACCCCAATTTCATTAAATTTTGTGAGTAAAAAATAAAAAGCCAACCGAGACAGGTGTCAAATATCTCAGCTGAGTTTAAAAAAGCAATGCCGACAACCCTCTTAGCATAAAAACTGATAGGATTATTTACATATAAAACTTTTGGAAATTTTCTAAACCTCATTTATTAACACAAAGAGAATAAATGTCAAGCTTGAATCTGTGCTATAACGAATTGGAGGGGGGAAAAAACATCACTAGTACACAGTTAAGCAGTTTCAAACTTGACATTTGTAAATAAAAACAATGAGCAGATAACTCTTTAAGAAGTTTGACTCTGTATTTATATTATAAACATGGCCTCCTTCTAAAATAAAAAAAATTCAATATTTTCAGAATCTAACAAAGGTCGTAGTTAGAGAAATGTCTCCCTCACAAATTATTACCTGTTTTTTATGAGTATGTCAGTTAATTGTAATAGTGCCCATTTTCTGTTCATACATGATCTGCTATGCCAGATTTTTCTCAATTTTGCTTGTAGCTTTATTTTTTTTTCAAATTTTCCCTTAAGTGAATGACTGATTCCTCCTAACATAGCTTTTCTCTATATACACAGTATAAATAAATAAAATATAAAGAAATTTTAGTCAGACTCTTCTCTTGTCAGGGAAACAATTCTAGTTTATAATATAAATCTAGTGTCAAATTGATCCCTGACCTCTTAAAGAGTTATCTGCACTTTGCTTTCATTTACAAGATGTTTGAAACTGTGCTTTAGTAATTAATAACTGCATACAATGACGAACTGAGGAAAAAAGACAATATCAGTAGTACATATTTATTAATGATATAAGTACATTTTCAAACGTGACATTTGTAAATAAAAACAAAATACAGAAAACTCTTTAAAATTCGGGGATCGATTTGACACTATGTTTATATTATAAACAGGACTCCCTTCTAAAATGAAAGAAAATTAATATTTCTTGTAGTGGATAGGAGAAGGACTAATGAATGTTAACCTACAAAAATTATTCCTCAAAAAAATTTTTACATATTTTTTTATAAGTAGACCAGTCTACTTAAGTAGTGCCAAAAATTGTTTGAAATTAAATGCTAAATATTAATTATGGTTTAATATTTTTTTGGTTATATTCCCATTGGTTGGAAAGGGTCACATGGTATGCTTACTGCTATGTTTGTACGGTAGTGACAGCAAGTCTTCTTTTTCATGTCCACTTTTAGATTGATGAAAGTGGAAATTTGAAAATCTATTTTTATTTATTTTTGTTTTTCTTTAAAGTCCCAACACTGTCAGTTTATCTGTCTGTTAGAAAATGTCCCCAAAATCTGAGAGATTCAATGGAATATTTCAAGGAAATCAAGGAATAATCTGGAAATTTTTAATTCTTACACAGACTCTTTTTTTTAATATCTGCTGAGCATTGATTCTAATACTGAAAAGATTTGTAAATCTACCATTCATCTGTGCATTGAATATTGCTGCCATATCTGATCTGGTGCTCCTACTTGAGATTCTTGATGAAATTCAAAGAAGGATCTGTAATATAATCAGTCCTGACTTGGCATCTCAACTTCAACCACTTTCTCACTGACATGATTTCTGTCTATCTTTTCTGCAAATACTTTCATGGCAATAGTTCCAATGATCTTAGTGTAGACAAAAAAATGGTGATGAGAGGGGGGTCAAAATGTGCAGTGCCTACTTCAACTTCTTTGTCCAACTGTCAATCAGTACGTCCAGCTCTATTGCTTGCTGTCTGCCGAATTACTTCGAATCACCCATGTTGCTGGAACCCCACTTTTTATGCTACAGCCAAAATTTGCATGTGTGCAAATATTGTCTCGTTTTGAATGAGATATGTGCGCATAAATTGCGTCTTCAATAGTGGCCATATTTCTTTTTATCATCACTTTGCAGGCAAGACACGTTTGCGCTCGTTTCGAATTCTGAGGTAAGTCATGTGTTTCGTCACACTTAGTACCTCAACTGCATGAATTTAAGTGTGCTACCAGATTGACAATCAGGTCTCACCATTTTATTGTTAAACTAGCTAGATGCAACCACAAGTTCTGTTCTAATAATGTCTTTTCTTGCACTTCTCATTTGTGGAAATTTCTTCCAACTTCTTGTTTGCCTGCCACCAACAATCTTCAAAAATTAAATGCTATGTCAAATAACCATTATGTCTTTCTTAAACCTGTTCCTTTATTGTCCTTTCTTTTCATTCACTTTCACTATATGGAAACCCTAGCATCCTAGTGGCATTATCACCTTGCTTGGGGTGAAATGACTAAAAAAAATACATGTATACAGTGAATAAGAAAGCATCAATAAATATTTTTGATGTGAAAAATTATTGTTCTTGACATTTGGGGGGGGGGACAAAGCTAACTTTATATTTCTTAAATGCCCATTGAGGTTTAAGGTTCAAGTGAGGTCGTTAAGAGAAGTGATATACAACTCTGCTGTCAAACATACATTTATTAAAGATCTCTTTTTGTTTGTGTGTTTATGGTAATCAAGACAACTAATTAGATTCAAGGCTTGCATTAACCTCAAGTGTTCTCAATTCAGTTTTATACGTGGACAGTAACAGAGATGACAGTGAGATATTATGATGAGTAATGCCGAAACTTCCTTTACATTTCGTAATTAGACAAGCACAATCTTATCTCATAATTCACAGCTTTGTAAATGATTGTCTTCTTGTTATTAGCTCAAGTTGTGATCCATGGTCAAACCCAGCCAGAACATTCTATACTACAGGCTTACACATAGTGCAACTAAGAGCCAGAACTGGAGGCCTATTTTAAAATATTTGAATTTCAATCAGAAATTTTAGGGAAAAATTTAAAAGTTAAACTGCATTCTTAAATGTCTTGTTCTTAATTTTGTAGGAGGGATTATGGCCATATCGCATTGAAACACCATTTCTCATACAATCACCAAAGTTATGCAACATTGATCCTGGTCAGTACCTAGATGGGTGACTGCCTGGGAATACCGGGTGCTGTAAGCTTGGTGTGTGAGTAGTGTAATGGATAACAGTTCAGAATTTGGAAATCAGAGAAGTGAGTTTCAATTCCAGCCAGGTTCATTATACTCACTAATGTGCAAATACCCTTGTGTAAATCCTTATCTCAGAAAAATTCTTACATTCTAAAAAATGGTTTTCTGGATTTAAATAACCTGCAAATCTCAAATTGATCTATCAAAAATTTTGAAGGATAAAAATTCTATGCCCCACTTATTATTCCACTCCATAGCTTATTAATTATTTTCAATTAAAATTCAGTTCTAAGAAAATGATTATTTAGAATCTCTAAATATATAGCATGAGCATTGGACCATATGTGGCAGCAATATTCAAAGCATGGATAAATTGTAGACTTATAGAAATATAAGATATATTCTGGAGATAAAGATAGTCTAACATGACACAATGAACCAATTATAATCTTTCCATTTCACCAATCTAATTTCAATCATTATCTTATGTCTTCTTGATTATTCTTCTATTCTTCTCACTTCTTAATAATGTTTCTCTGCTTTCTTATTCTTTCATACTCCATAACCCCTTGTGTCTTAGTGGCTTTAGTGTCTTGAATGAGGTGAAATGGAAAGATTATATTAAATCCACTGTTAGGTCAGCTGCTAAGAAAGTTGCTTCATTGTGCCATGCTAGACAATTTTTCTCTCCAGAATATATCTTACATATTTATAAGTCTAACATCAGCCCATATGTTTAATATTGCTACCACATATGGTCCAATGCTCATTTATATTTAGAGATTCTTGATAAAATCCAAAGAAGAATCAGTAATATTATTGGTTCTGACCTGGCATCTCGGCTTCAGTTCCCACTGTATTTTGTTTGGGTGATCTCTTCATGATTATATCTAGGTTTTATTAATTTAAGCACAGTACTAGATTGGTCATAAGGACTTATTAATTCACAGATCATTTGGTTTGATGTAACCAAATGTTCTATACTAGCAGTTTCTCTTCTAGTACTTCTCACTTGTGGAACTCTCCATGCTTTCCAGATAACTTTGATCTTCAAAAATTCAAGAGCACTGTCCATTGTTATCTACTGTCTTCTTGATTGCTCTACTTTTGTTCCTGTTCCTTAATAATGTTTCTTTATTTTCATATTGTTTCACACTCAGTAATGCATTGTGTCTTAGTGGCTTTACTGCCTTGCTTGGGGGGAATTCAGTTAAAAAAAATCTTGAGAAATCAAAATAACGTTTTAGTCATGTAATGTGACATCATTCCTTGTGAATTTAAAAATAATTTAAATGATATATCTGAGAAAGGAACATTTTCACTGTTTGATCAGTGTGAAGCTTTGATGTTATTCCTGCCTTTTTGCAATCATTTTATGGTCATATACAACAACACATGGACAATCTGTGAAGAATAGTATAACAAGTGAAGAAAATTAGAAAGATGCTTTATTTGCGGTAAAAATGTTGATATAAGAGAAAATTGTTTTAACTCTCTTCAAATAATTTGCAGCATGTTTTACACACCATTCCTTCATTCAAATAAACTCACATCCACTTCTCAGATTCATTCTTCCTTCCTTCCTTTCTTCCTTCCTTCACCTTTGACATTTCCCAGCTTCATGGGGACGAATGGGCCAGTACCTTTCCATGATGGCCCAGTGCATGTTGCTAGGGGCAGATGTGACATATCTCTCTTCTATTCACGATCACCCAAGAATATTTCTGCATGAGTGAATGTAATAAACCTGACTGAAATTTGAACCTAGCTCTCCAATTTCTCATTCCAAGCCATTATCCATTACACCACCTGCACAGCCAAGCTTACAGCACCTGATATTCCCAAACAGTCATCTATCTAGGTATTGACTGGTCTTGACATTGCTTAACTTCAGTGATTGGACGAGAACTGGTATCATATACAATTACCTCAGGATTTATATTCTTTCCTATATAAGGAGTATGTCATACTCTGAAAGAAAAAAAAAAATTAAGGATTAACCCAATTTAAATCATCAAAGGGATAAAGGAATAATAAAACACAGGACAGCAAACTTGATGTCTTTCTTTCACCGCCATTCTTTTTTTCTCTACTTCTTTCCTTAAATCTGCTTTTCTTTTTGCATTTCTCTGGCTTTCTTATTTAACCTCCAAATTTGCTCTTTCATACCTTCTTCCCCACCCACTCGCTTCTTTTTTTTTCAGCTCTGTAATTGTGTATAAATGAACAGATAAGGGAACTGATCTCTACCTCCCTCCCTCCATCTGTCTCTCTCTCTCCATATATATATATATATTGTCATCCACTGACTGTTTTGCTGTATCACAACTCATCAGTATGACTAGACATCTGATTGCCTCGAGCCAGGATTAAAACCCAATTGATTTGGCATCAGTCGAAGATTTTTCCCCTAAGCTATCAGGAAGGTGAATTTTTACATATTTATTTTTGAATAAACACACCAGTGACTCAGAGTGCTCTATTCATAGAAGAGCATTGCATTATCAGCAGTAGCAGTCACTGTTTACAAATTCATGCCTTTCCCTCTAAAATGCTCGATCAATTTTTCTTTTTTCAGGGGCGTATATATTGTCATTCACAGACAGTGAGCAACCTTACTTTCAAGCAGGTTTCATTGAATATGAGAGACAAGGAAAATTTCATGAGTTTTTTGTAGTACTCTTAAAATTTTCTGTTTGGTCAGGGTAAGAGAGTGTAAAAATTATCCATAGAGTCTATTGTTCCAAGCACTTTTGGGGCAAATCTTTAGACAATTTTAAGAGATTTCTTGTTAACTGCTGTTAATTTCTTTTCATGGTTGTCATTTAAGATAGAATTGTGTGTATCTGTGTAGATTTATTAGCCTGATGAAAGAAATTTGAAAGATAAAAAAAACAAACTAATAATATTGACAATAAGTCTAATAATATTGTATATTAGTAGGAGCTCCGATTGAAGAATTGGAGAGCTGAGTTCAAATTCCAGTCAAATCCATTACATTCATTTATATGCTAATACCCTTGGGAAAGGCATGAATTCTCTTCTTCTCCCAGCTATAGGTGAATAGCAGGATAGACCGGGTTCTATAGCCTTGGATGGCAACGGGTCTACCACAGAAAGAAATGGCAACCTACTGCAAAAAAAAAAAAAAAGTCAATTCAAGACACTATCCATTACTCCATCGTACTGCTTAATAAATAAATGGGGCATCTACACAAATATGATTACCACTAAAAATAATGTTTAAAGTGATAAAATATTACCTGTCCCTTTAAATTTCTGTAAAATGACCTAAAGAATAAATTTACTATTAATCTACCCTGCGAGTGAAAACAATGTACATGAGACTCCGAGTATGGACAGATAAGTATGCATTTAATTTTATTTCTTACTATTAATACTCTGTCTTTTATTTCCTAGAAATACACTGGTTGACCTTTTTTTTTTTCACTGGAACACAATCGTTTTATTGTTGAAATGTTCCTGGTTCTGTACACTACTGGAAATCAGCTATGAAAGATCTGAATATTGATTTTGTGTTGAACCATGAACTTTTCGGCACCCCTTTTATGTAAATGGAAGTGATGGAGCAGACAATGAAAGCCCTTGTCTCTTTAGCCAAAAGTAGGAAAAGGAAATTCATGTTATTTGTGTATATTTTCTATGGGATTTATGTGATCATGATATTCAGTTTTAATGGTTTGAAAGGACTTTTCAGTTTGTGTGTATTTTTTTCAAAATGCCTTTTGATTTTTGGCAGTGTACCAAATATATTATGAAATGGACAAAGTCCGACAATTATTTTTAAAACATTTTTATGTTTATACATTCTTTTTATAGATACAATTATTTAAGTAAATGCTCTGTTTATAATAAACAGTATTAAACAACATTTACTGGCCTGAATGTCCGAGAAATTTTCATAGAAGTTTGTAGTTTAAAGACAGTAAAATCGATCTTTCTAACCGAATGCTCCTCTGTGGCCCAATGGGTTAAAGGCATGTCAGGCTATGTGATGGTTCTGTATAGGATACAGGTTTGATTCCTGTCAGAGTGTGACGGTTACACACCTGGCCCAGTGTCGGATCCTTTGGTTACGGCGCCAACGGTGACGTCGCTCCTCCTGGTCGTTCCTCCTGGGTCCAAGCGTGCCGCTCCAACCCTTTGGTCAGATGATCACCAGCCTCGCCTTTCCCGACTCGCTTCCAATACCTGGTCACTAAAGCAACTATACCGATCTCGGTCTGTCTACCCACGCTGTGTTTAGATCTTAGACAGACGGGACCAGCAGGATCGGGGCGATACAAGTTGAGTCCGACGGGGTGGCAAAACACAAATAAAATAAAAACTCACGACACCAAACAAAATTGCTGATAAAAGGGTAACAACCTTTCATATCTTAAAGTCCGTTACATAAAAACAAAATTGTTCTCAATTCCCGACCCGCTCTGTGGACTATGGCACCAAGCTTCTATCACACAATAGGAAAATGTCGAATTACCTACTTTCTAGAATCATGTATGTATGTCGGAGTGTGGTTCAGTTCGACACTGGGGCTAATTTCTATCGATCATTCGCAGTTGATTCTTCTCTCCGACTTGAGTTGTATTTCTTCTTCTTCTTCTGTTTTAGACTGGTAGATTTCTTGTTTCAACCCAGTGGAAGATTTCTTGCTTCGATTCAGTGGAAGATTTCTTGCTTCGATTCAGTGGAAGATTTCTTGCTTCAATTCGGTGGAAGATTTCTTGTCTTCAACTTGGGCTGGAAGGATTTCTTGTTTCGAGGATTCTTCTGTCGTCCGAGGGTGAACTGCAACTCACGCCCAACCTAACTCCAACTTCAACTCAACTTCAGCTCCCACTCTTCTCAGGTTTTCAGGCAATCTTCTTCTTCATCTACTTGGGCTGGAAGTTCTTCTGTCTTCGACTTGGGCTGGAAGTCCTTCTGTCTGAGGGTTCTTTTGCCCGCAAAGGGGGCGAGTGAATCGGGTCTTATGTCCGCGTTCAGG